GTCAGGTTCTAGCAGAACCCAGATGTGTTCTTCCTCCTAAATGTCATGTGTCTATCTGCTGCACTGATGAAGTTCTGAGGCTCAGAAATGATGGAAACAGTCCATTAAGGTGATGAACCTGGACCTGTAGCTCTGAACATATTCACAGTGTGAAGGTAAATAAACTAAAGCTGCTGTAGATTCAGGATGATCAGCTGATTATACAAGATGTGAAGTTCAGACTGTGCCTGACTCCGGCCGCCGTCCCTGTCTGAGCAGCGACGCTCTGCTCCCGGTGCTCCTGCAACCACTGTGGCGCTCCCTTGAAGTCCTCTGTTCACTTCAAGGGCCTGCAGCTCTGAACATATTCACAGTGTGACGGTAGAACTTTGCATGGCTTCAGCAAATGAACTAATGTCACTGCAGATACAAGCACTAGTTCGTCCAAATCATGCGACTGTTTCCTCGGCCTGCTGCCTTCGTCCACGCCTCGCTTGGACTCTGCCGTGCTGACGCCTACAGGAGAACCGATGGACTTTGCGTGGTTTAAAACGTCGCGGTGTCAGGAGGTGAAAGAGCCGCCGCCTTGTTCCAGAACAAAACCACAGTTGAGGAACGATGAATCTCCACTCGTGCGCGGCTCCCTCATAAACATCCTTTAGGAGGACGGCGCGCATTAACGTGATGTATTAAAGTGCGTCCGCGTGATGAATGGCATACACAGTGTTCCGTCGGCCTCGGCTTCCCTCGCAAACATCCATTCGGAGGAGGGCGAGGACTGTTAAAGTGATGAATAGTGAGGAGGAGGCGGGAGCCCGCGAGGAGCCGAGCAGATTAATAACAACATTCATCAGTTTTACAGCTCCAGTGTGTCCAGTTACATCGCCGGACGCATTGTTCTGCAGCAGCAGCAGCCAGCTCCTCCAGATATATACCCACCTTCACTCGCTCTCCTTTGATAAACAGTGCACATGTCACAGTCCTAAGTGAAGCTGAGAGGGAAGGAAATGAGAAGGATGGAATGATGGTTGTTATTGTTGGGTTATGTGCAGGCTTAACGAATGTGTTGGACCTCCACCCAGTGTCGGGTTTATGCCACAGCATTGGTCGTTAATTAGTTTTTAACATTAACATGAACTTTTTAGATAATTATTTACTACTTTCTTCATTGTCAGAAGTTACCTCAGTATTTGGTAGCGTTACCTTTAAACTCTATGACTTGGGTCAAACGTTCTGGGTTTCCTTCCACAAGCTTCTCACAATAATCTGATGAGTTCTGGCCCATTCCTCCTGACAGAACTGGTGGAACTGGGTCAGGTTTGTTGGTCTCCTTGCTCCACTGATGTTCTCCAGGATGGAGATCAGGGCTTTGTGATGGCCACTCCACAACACTGACTCTGTTGTCCTGAAGCCTCTCTGTAGCTAATCTGGAGCTATGCTGAGGGTCATTGTCCATCTGAAGACCCATTAGTGTCCAAGCTGTAACTTCCTGCTGATGTCTGGAGATGTTGCTTCAATATCTCCACATCATCTTCTTTCCTCATGATACCATCTATTGTGTGAAGGTCACCAGTCCCTCCACAGCATGACGCTGCCACCCCCGTGCTCCACAGCTGGGATGGTGTTCTCAGGCCTCAAGTGCCCCCCTTTTTGAACCAGACTAGTGGAGGTCCACAACTCTCTTGGCTGGTTTCTTTAGATTTTCCATGTTGTCAGATGTAAGTTGAGGTTGAACTGAAGCACAAACGCAGTGACCCACCCAGTCCTTGCCTCCATCTCTGAATGTCCCTCAGTGTTACAGTTTACACAAAGCCCTCAAAGCTAATGGCAGCGTTGGCTACGTTAGCCGCAAAATGGTGCTAAGAATTTTCCAACTTTTGTGAGGACATTACCATCAATAGTAACAGTAATCCATTTGGTGCTCAGTTCTTCAGATGCTGGCAGTGCATGAAGACTCTTGTGTTCGCTCTCGCAGCCAACAGCAGAACATTGGAGACGCTTTCGCAGAAGCAGCTCTAGAAAGTAGATGAACCTGTAGGACTGAGAGGCAGCTGCTCATTCTGACGGATGCCTGGACGTTTTAGTGAAGCTCTCACTGGCTCGTAGAAGTTGGGAGGTTGTCTGGTTGTTGTGGAATGGCAGTTGTGAGCATGTTTGTGTTTTTACTGCTGTATTTTACGCCAGTGTTTTCCCGTCCTCTCTCCTCTGCTGTCCTCGTCCCTGACGCTCTCTGCATTAATCTGGTTTCTCTTGTCGGTGTAAAAGCGTGACTCGCCGTGTGGGCGGGTGATGGAGGTGTGATGGAGGCCGGCTGCCAGGTTCTTTTTGCATTTTTCCTCCCACGGACTGATTTATCGCCCGTCATGTTCCACCTCTCGGATGAGCTTCGTTCCTGCGTGTTTGACCGGCTGGCTGTGGCAGAACAGTGAACATTAGCACGTTAGCTTCTGCAGAACCGATTGACGAAACGAAACTGGTTTTGATCATTCTGGGAAAGTTCTTTTCTGTTCTTATTGTTTAGATCTGAGCTGCACTCGGTTCAGAACAAACTGATTTTAGTTACTGTCAGGACACACAACTTCATCACTTTGAGTTTGACTGTTGTTGGAAGCCTGTAATGCTCCTGGTGTGTGTTAGCATTTGAAAAATCCTAGCTTAGCATTAGCCTCAGGTTGATAACTTTGTCACAACTTTATGCTGCAGAGTAGATGATTATTTACACTGGAAGGTCATATCATGTTATTTAAATTAGTTAGGTTAACCTCCACAGTTCCTACTTCTGTAGGCCTTAATGTTTGAGTTAGTCAGGCTAATCTGTCTAGCTATCATTACTGTTGAGTTTTAGCCTTAGCATACAAATTAGTCAGGTTCATTTCCGTAATTCATGCTGTACGGTCTTAGCCTTAATATTTAAATTTGTTGAGTTGATCTCCATAATTAATAGTACTGGAGGGTCTGAGCCTTAGTATTTTAATTCATCTCCCTTATTGATACACATGCAGGGGCTTAGCCTTAATATTTAAGTTACTTGGGTTAATCCCCTAGTAGTGGTGGTAGGGTCTTAGCCTTAATATTTTACATCGTCAGGTTAAGCTCCATAGTTAATAGTACTGTACAGTCTTAGCCTTAATATTTAAATTTGTCGAGTCGATCTCCATAATTAATAGCACTGGAGGGTCTGAGCCTTATTATTTGTTACTTGGGTTCATCTCTTAGTCGTGGTGGTAGGGTCTTAGCCTTAATATTCTAAATATAATTCATAGCACTGCAGTGTCTTGGTTTGATATGTAAATTAGTCAGGTTGCTCTCTATAATTAATAATACTGTCGGGTCTTAGAATATGGTTTTATTTGTTATGGTCAGGTAAAGTTGTTTCTGACAGATTAGCGTCTTAGCCTTAATATTTAGATTAGTTCGGCTGGGTTTTCCATGTGTAGTTTTTTGTCGGGGCTCAACTTAATTCTTTAGATTAATCAGATAATTATTTACAGTAATTGAATTACTCGAGTAAATTGGCAGTCTTGATCTTATTATTTAAACACGTTCAGTTTTTGTTTCATCTTATTTCTCTTTATGTCAACAAGCTCTTGGGCTCAGTGACTTAAATGTTCTGTTTAAATAAAGGTGACTCGACTTGTTTCTGAGCAGCATCCTCTGACTCCATCTCCACTTCTCTCAGTTTTATTTTCTTATTGTTTTGTTACTAAATCTCTGCGTCTTTGTCCAGCTGTCCAGGCTGAGCTCTGCCACGCTGCTGGTCTGGCTGAAGGCGAGAGGAGCTTCTGTTGGTGGCAAACACAGGAAGGAGGATCTGATGCTGAAGGTCATGGGCTGCCTGGCTGAGGGCTAGCGCACACACACACACTCACTCACTCACACACACACACACACATACACACACACACTCACACACACACACACACACACACACACATACACACACACACTCACACACTCACACACACACTCACACACACTCACGCTGCTTAATAGACTCACTTTGGAAGTATTAACGCTGCGCTAAGCTCCTCATTTACAGATTTGATGTAAAATCTGGCGCCTTATCAGCCGGGACCAGACGAGAGCATCTCATCGCCGCTAATTGAGACGCTGAAGATTTGCCAGAATTAAATTCTCGTGTCAGATAAAGTGGCAGCAGGGTCCAGAGCAAGTGACAAATTGAAACTACAAAGTGAAATCCAAACTGATGGAAGCTGTTTTTTTTTTTTCTTTTGTCTCGTTCCGGTTCAGTGATGTCACCTCGATTACATTTCTTCGGGGGGTTATGAAGTTTAAAACTGTTCATTAGTTTGCTCGCAGTTTGATTTAAAGTTGGGAAAAGGTTTTCTAACTCGTCTGCTGGAGGTTTGATGTTTTTTTTTTACAGCTGGTGCTTCATGCGTTCGCTGTGAAAATGAGTTTAATTCCGCAGTACGTAGCAGGTAGAATGTAGAATCCTTCTTCTTCCTGAATGTTCAACAAAAAGGCTCAACATCTTCTGCCACCAGAGTTCATCAGTGTTTAACCTGCAGCTGCTTGTTTGTTGTTCAGTGTGCGGTCCTGTTTATTCACAGAAGCTTGCTGTGTAAAGGAAATTTAAAAAGATTACAAGGCATGATTAAAAAAATAAAACCCGTGCAGCCAGATGTTTGTTTTTAATCGTTCAGCCATCGCTCTTTTTCCCAGGCAGCTGTTAGACACACAGATGTTCTGCAGCGGTTTTCTCTCCCGGTGTGTTTCACATTCCATCGGACGAGCTGAGTCTTGTTCCGGCGCAGAACGAAGTGTGTGTTTGTGTGTGTTTGCAGATACGAATCAGGATTTCACAGTAAATTAGTCGCAGCACAAAGGGAATCGTTTCGATGCGTCACAGCGGGATTCTGTCGGGAGGGTTAGTGTCGGACCAGATGTGATCAACAACGCAGAGCGATGCCCTCTGAAGCTGTACCGTGATCGATCTGGCTCATCCTCTGAGTGTTTAGGTCGGAGGAGAATAAATACCAGCAGCAGGGTCAGCCAGTTTGTTCACCCTATGAATCGTATCGCTACATCGACCCGGTGGTGGTCAATTCAAGAAAACGGTCATTTTACGTATTTCAAATATTTTGAAAAATCATTTTAA